TATCATCTCAATATACAGTAGATACTGTTCATGAATACACCTGCTCTAATGACACTCATTATTTACAGTACAGTGAATCACACTAGACAAATGAAGCACTGCATCAGATCTGAGCTATATGTTCATCTGCTGCAGTGAATCTCAGTGTTTGCGCAGCAGCAGCAGATCAGTCTTAAAGCTTGAGGTCAGTTCAGGTTTTAGGGTCCGTTCACACCATGATCGATAACTATAACCATAAACATAAGTTTTAATAACTGCTCTAAGAGAATAGCAAAGTCCAGGATTTGTTTTCCAGCTGATAAATGCTAAAAACATTGACAGACAATCAGAATCTATCCGACTTTAATGAGCTCCAGCATTTAAAGCGGCAGACGACAAAACTACAGCGCAATTATGAAATAAACAGAGAGTTATCATCTGCCAATATAGTTATCATTATAGTTATCTCTGTTAGACTTATCGTTACCATTATTGTTTAAGATATTATTATTGTTATAGTTATCGATAATAGTTATCATTATAGCTGTCATTATAGCTAATATTATAGTTAAAGTTATTGTTATTATAGTTATCGTTTCTTGCTATCTTTTTATATTTATAGTTGTCGTTGCAACTACAGTTATATAGTTATGGTTATAGCTATAGTTATCAAAGTTAATGTTATAATTATAGTTATTAGTTATAATTTATCATTAGACTTATACTTAACATTGTTAAAGTTATCGTTATTGTTAAAGTTATCGGTTATAGTTATCATAGCTGACGTTATAATTATAGTTATTGTTCTCATTATACTTATAGGTAACATTATAGTTATTGTTATAGTTAAAGTTATCTTTATTATAGTCATCATAATAGTTATCGGTTACACTATCGGTTATTATACTCATAGTTATCATTACATTTTTCATTATCATTTTTTTTATTGATACAATTATTGGTTATAGTAATCATTACAGTTAATGTTATAGTAACTGTAGCGTCAACGTTATAAACCAATCATAACTCGGTATGCAAATTTGATGACATCACGACTGCCATTCAGTTGCATTCTAAGTCAGTGGGAGTTTCTCAAGCTTGAATTGGTTTAAATATCAAAAATCTATTGTTTTATGTTTTCGGACTGACTTTAGTCAGACGTTATGATGGTTTCTTTACAGTAAATGGCACAGGCTGTGATGTCCTCTGTGTCCCGTGTTCAGTATGTCAGCGAGTGCGAGACACACCTGTGCCGGTGAGTAGAGTTTCCTCTGGTTCTGTGTGTCCTGTGTGTTTCTGTGCGGTGTCAATCCACTCTGGCTGGTGCTGGTGTGTGTGTGAACCGTCTGTCTGTTTCCGCAGCCTCTCGCCGGCCTCTCGCCCGCATCGGCCCCGGTCGAGCGCTCCGGACGCCCCAGACAGCACAGGCCGCCCTGCGCCAGCTCCATCTCGATCTCCGCATCCATCTCTGCGTCCTCCTGCGCCTCTTTATTGGAGTCGTCCAGGTGCTTCATCAGCACAGCCACCACCACGTTAATCAGGACAAACTGAGCCGTCAGAACGAAGCTCACGAAGTACATGGGCGAGATGATCTGCAGGCTGGTGTTACACGAGTAGCTGTCGCCCGGCGGACACTCGCGCAGCGTGTCCTGTAAGCACAAACACACTAAAGACTATCCAATTCTGTTTGACTGTCATTTCATCCACACCAGTGCAATACGACTAAAATAGAAACCATGAAATCCGCTAAATATCTCTCATGCATCATGGCTGCTGGTCGTACACCCTGGACCACTAAACCAGTCATAAGGGTCAATTTTTTAAAATTGAGATGTATACATCACCTGAAAGCTGAATAAATAAGCTTTCCATTGATGTATGGTTTGTTAGGATAGGACAATATTTGAAAATCTGGAATCTGAGGGTGCAAAAAAATCTAAATATTGAGAAAATCATCTTTAAAGTTGTCCAAATGAAGTTCTTAGCAATGCATATTACTAATCAAAAATTAAGTTTTGATATATTTACGGTAGGAAATTTACTAAATATCTTCATGGAACATGATCTTTACTTAATATCCTAATGATTTTTGGCATAAAAGAAAAGTTGATAATTTTGATCCATACAATGTATTGTTGGCTATTGCTACAAATATCCCCCAGCGACTCAACACTGCTTCTGTGCTGAAGGGCCACATATTGTCTGTTTTTGCTTAAGGCGAGACACTACAGGCAAAAACAGTTTTTTGCATGATATTTTGGTCTATTTTGCTTTCAGAGTAGTGGAAAGGAAACATACAAGTGTTTATTTTACTGCACTTTATCTTTTTGCGTTTAGATTTCAATTCCAATCCATATCTTTAAAGAGCTTTTTCTCTTACATTCACCAAACTCATCTTTATTCTGAAGGCTTTTACTTATCTTAATTCAGTATAATGCAGCATAATGATTAATCAACACAATCTTTACAGCCATTTATCAAGCAGCACATCACATCACATCTATTATTTAAAATACATACGGAAATATAGTTGGATGTGACACTGATTCAACACACATAGGAAGCCGACCGAATGCAGCTGATTTACGTGGTTTATAGCTGTAGTTTAGGGTTTGTGTTCATGTAAAGTGACACCAGCATGAGCTCTACCTTCATGATGCCGTTCCAGTTATCTCCTGTAGACACCTGGAAGAGAGTGAGGAACGCCATGCCGAAGTTTTCAAACGTGGCGTGACGGCTCATGCCTTCACACGGGTATTCAACATTACACACTGAAACACAGAAACACGGAGAGACACATTCAAAATTAACTCATTTCATTTTATTTGAAGTCTCTTCTGCTCACCAAGGCTGCATTTATTTGATCAAAAATACTGAAATATTATTACAATGTAAAACAGCTGTTTTCTATGTGAATATCTGTTAAACTGTAATGTATTTCTGTGATGCGCAGCTGTATTTTCAGCATCATTCCTCCAGTCTTCAGTGTCACATGATCTTCAGAAATCAGTATAATATGCTGATTTGCCCAAAAAACAATTCTGATTATTATCAATGTTGAAAACAGTCGTGCTGCACAATATTTTTGTGGAAACCGTCATACATTTTATTTTTCAGGATTCACAGATAAATATAGAAAGTTCAAAAGAACAGCATTTATTTGAAATAGAAATCTTCTGTAACATTAGAAATGTCTTTACTGGCACTTTTGATGTCAAAGCCAAAGATAAAAATGCAGATGCAAACAGATCATTAGGAACTTTATGACTGAAGTGTTTTTCTCTCACCCAGTTCTCCAAACAGCTCGACTCCGAGCGCGGCGTAGATGAAGAACAACAGAACGAAGAGCAAACCCAGATTCCCCACCTGAACAAAACACACACACACATGCACACACACGCACATACACGCACATACACGCACGCACACACACACACACACACACACACACACACACACATCAGCAGTGAGCTCATCTCAAGCACTAAAACAGCAGTCAACGCTGAGAATGAAAGTCATTTAATTCCCAGAATGAGGTTTGTGCTGGTCATGCGCTCACAGCTGCTTTATTGCTTATATTCAAGGTTAATTCCCTTCCATTAGACGTGCCGGAAGCCCATCTGAGCCCGGCGAGAGCTCGAGAAAACAAACGCTTGTGCACTTTATTCCTCACATACGTGTGACTCAAATACACACAGCAGTTTTATATAAATCTAGATCCTAAATCACATGAATTAAGCTACTGTTGACACATTTACAGGACTGAAGTGTGATCATCAGGGCAGTTAATCCAGCGAAAGGAGGTTTGTAGATCGACGCCATCTGTTTAACGTGTTTATGAGTGTGAAGTGTGTCACTCAAGAGCTGCTCACAGCCATGTTGAACACTCAATGACTCTTGAAACGACGTGATGAGAGCACGTCTAACGCTTCATTCACACGCCAGACGCTTCTCATGATTCTCTACAACTTTAGGACTGAACGTCATTGAGCAGATGCTGAAATCAAATCTGTCTGTTCAGACTCTCATCAGGATCTGCTGGATTTTATACGCAAGGCCTCTAAATGACTGACAATCAAAATTTGCTGTTAAACCTTTTTTTGCACTCAATCTCCTGCATGCCTTCTGTCTCTGATTGATAGTTTAGAGTGTTTTATCCAGTCAAAGCTCTTTTAGTGTAATTGTATAAACGTCCAGCTTCAGCTGGAGCTTCTCGTGTCAAATCTTGACTGGTTTTGATCAAGTAAGCATCAGAATAACTGCAGTAATATCTCCAGATAAACACTTACTGGACTGAAGCAGCTCAGCTTTACTTGATTCTCCATCAATCATGTTTTAGAGTCTCAAATCTGATCCTCAGGATCTTTTGAGGAGCGTTTGTTTCCAGAAGCTTTACTTTCACTGTTCCTCAGCGGAGGAATGATCTTCACAAGCCTACAGAACATCTCACATCTTCTGAGGAGCCTTTATTTCTTCAGCTCTCAATCACTGCATTATATGTTTGGAGCATTTCAATCTCATCTTATTATTACTGGAGATATAGAGCGACCACTGATATTTAGATCATTTTATGTCAGTATCAGTATAAAGATCTCATTGATTTGCATTACAAGCATCAGAATTTCATCATATAAATATCAGCATCTGCAGCAAATTCATATTTTTGCTTAGTTTGAGTCTCTGAATAAAATTGGGGTGTTTTCTCCTTCATATTCTCACTGCATCAGACTATATGAGCCATAAAAGCCTGATGAGTCAAATATGATGCAAAACAAAAAAACAAACACATATGCAAACTTTTTTTAAAGATTTTAATTTATATATTGTTTAAAGTGTCAATAAACTCTTCCAATTCAAATTAATTTCAAATATTGCATTTTATTAATAATAAATTAGTGTAGTAATAAGTTTAAACAGTAAATAAATAAGATCATCTAGTAAGTGAGTATTTATGAAAGACAGACAAAAATCATGTAATTTTATCATCAAACTGTGTGTGTGTGTGTGTGTGTGTGTGTGTG